CAGTAAAGAAAGACAGAGGACAGTATCGTAGAGCTGAGTAATCACTTGTTTCTTTCATATTAAACACCTTGTGCTTCATATACCTCATCTAAACGTTTAAAAAATGGGTACCACTTCACAATAAGACTCATAAAGGATTCATAAAGGTTTTATAATTAGGTTATTAATTAGGTTGTAAACACTTTATCAATCATTAAGAACCATTTATAAACCAGTTATAACATACATCAACACAGGCTCACTATTTGGCAAGATGACGAAGCTTTATATTGGCTACCTAGCTTACTTCATCTTCTTCATCAGTCAGCATCCTTGGTATCTGTTGTTCACTGAGTTGATTCCCCCCCCCATCCATCTTGATGTTTCTTGGCATCTCTTTATGACCATTTATTTATGAGTTACTAACATTTGTAACAGCCAAAAGGGAGCCTTATTGTAAAGTGTAAAACACATTCCCATTTATTAATGAGTTACTACCGTTTCTAATAAGACTTAGCAGTTCAGATAAATGTGGGCTCACTATTTGGCAAGCAACCGGTCACAGTTGCCCTGTTTATCTCATGTCTTATAAAAGCTTATTAAGGATTTATAAAGTGTTCACAACCTAATTAATAAGTGAATTACAAACTATTCGTAAACCCTTTATAAGGGCAGTCTTATTGTAAAGTGGTACCAAAACATGTATTTAACCAACATAGGAAATGTAATGCCATGGCGTTGTGTCACTGTGTGCTACTTTAGGTCAGGACACGCTTCACAAAGATTAGTATGTTCAGAATGTGTACATGCAGCGTATAAATAGCGAGAGTCATTTCTAAGCTGTTACATCTTAGTTTCCTCCTGAGAGGGGGGGGGGGCGGCACACAATCCTTCATGCTGACAGCTGTCATTCTCAACATTGTTTTATAAAGACAGGAAACCACCCGTCTGTCATCTGTACTGTACCTGCACGTCAGCTCTGGGATATGTCGCCGTGCTGAGGTTTAACTTTTCTTATCTCATGTTGTCACAATAAGCTTTTATTTTGTAAACAAAGAGTGTTCTACACAGCATCTGTAGCTGGACACACCTCTGCTTTACACACCGGTCAACACGTTTTTTTTAAGGATCTCAAACTGCAAATAGTGAGCAAATGTTTTCTCAATTGTAATGTATTGTATTCATGTAGTTATTATTATTTAAAGACAGTTCAACATTGTGGTAATGTAACTGTCAGTTAATAAAGTTTAACTCATCATATTTCATACATAGTGTTCATACTTCATGGTTTAAATATTTGAAAATGAGTCAGTTTACTCTATGATAGGATATAGGATAAATGTGTGTGTGTGTGTGTTGTGTGTGTGTGTGTGTGTGTGTGTGTGTGTGTGTGTGTGTGTGTGTGTGTGTGTGTGTGTGTGTGTGTGTGTGTGTGTGTGTGTGTGTGTGGTGTGGTGTGTGTGTGTGTGTGTGTGTGTGTGTGTGTGTGTGGTGTGTGTGTGTGTGTGTGTGTGTGTGTGTTCCTGGCAGTGGAAACATGCATTGTGTTTTGGGTCTTGGCTCAGTTACCCTGCAGGCTGTAATCACACACACCATCGAGGAGGCTTCCGAGCAGATGAACAAGAACCAAAGCTGCAAAGGTCTTGTAGAAATGACAACATTTAAAGAACAGTTGTCCATAACGTGAAATACAAATAATATGCTTATACCTAAAATGAAAAAAAATGAAGCATCCTTTCCCAGATTGACCCTGGAAGTTAAACATGTCTAGAGTTAAATATTTTAAACATTTCTGCCTGCTGTTTTCAAATATTCTTTATTGATTGTTTGTAGCGTTTCAGCCAAAATGCATATATGAAAAGGCACTTTTCTGAATGCATTTTTATCGAGCTGTGGCAGTAAATAAAGTTTTAATTTGGGAAGTCTGAGTAGCTAAAAACATCCTTATTATGTCTCCTGCAGTCCAGTCTTTATTATGCTAATCATCAGCCCTGCTCACATCATTTGTTCCATGTTGAATCCAATATTTAGTTCTCAGTACAACACTGTAGTTTTAAGCAAAGTCAATGGGAGCCATCTTAAAGTGAGTAATCTCGATACTCTTTAAAATCCCCGCCATTACTTGTCTCATCAGTTCTTGATCGAAGCTTCTGGTGTGCAGCGCCTCTTTTATTCCCCTCTCATCCTGCCCCTCATTAACAGCAGTGTGTGTTAGTCCCACTTGGATTACACCTGATACAGGAGCAGCTGGGTGGCAGCCTGTGCTCTGCAGACACCCTTGGGTGATCACACACACACACACACACACACACACACACACACACACACACACACACACACACACACACACACACACACACACACACACACACACACACACACATACATACACACGCACAGCAAACAACGCCTCACTGAGCACCTGAGACTATGAGGTGGAGGGGGGGAGACACCTGAGTCCTGGCTGTCTGCGGACTCCCTCACACCCGCCGGTCATCCTATCCCGTCCTGTTTTACCGCCAAGATTAGCACCCTGCTCTCTGATCTGATGACATAGTGATTGGTGGAGGGCTCTCATGTACAAGGAGCCATTAACCCTGTAACACACAGCAGGGTGTGGACCATATGCATGTGTGTGTTCATGTGTTTGACATTAATCTGTGAGATGAATTAGGCAGTTAGCGCCTGGAGGTAATAGGGTGTTGCAGGAGTCCTAATACCTCAAAATTATTTAGCCTTCACTTCCCTTGTCTTAAAGTCCACGCCTTTTTCAACGTGTTTATCATTAGATGCCTGACATGTGGTTTATACAAGATGTTACATCAGTACATTTCCGACTGGTAACTGTCTGAAGCTTAGTCGTAAAAACGCCAATACTGAACGTCATCATGCCAAACATTAGCCCCCCTTTAGCTTAGCACTGGTGACTTGAAGTCATGTGACCGTGCCATAGTTTAACGTTAGCTTTTTACTTCAAAAATCATAAAGTGGAGTTAATGTGTTAAGGTTATCCTGCTGAACATAGCATGTAAGGATCATTAACATGTGTTTGCCACAGATCTTATATTCCGCAATATTCAAAACCATGTCACCACTTCACCACTCCATACATTCAGGAGTACTATGAGCTAATGAGGGTAACTGGAATCATGTTTTATTGAGGAGATGGTCATTAGGTTGTGATGGTGATTCATCATATCATTAATAATCTTTGAAATATTAAACAGTATGTATTGATTAATTCTGCCAGCAGATGATCACGGAAATGTTGTAAATGTATGGCAACCTAAGAGGGACAAATGCATCAGCCTGCTTCTGTGTGTGGTTTTCTTTTACCACTTTCAGTACAGAATTAGCATTTGGCATGCATGTCATTAAACCAAAAAGTAATGCTTGTTTCATTTCATTTTCTGACTTTCGTATCTTGTGGCACGCAGCCGAAGACCAGCGGTTGTAATGACTAAATAAAATAAATTCACAAATATATAATTTATATGTCTAAAGGTTCAATATTGTCTTGATGGTGTTGGGCACTGTAGATTTTGAAAAACTGAAGGAAATAATGCATTTTTTGCCGCTGTTTGGTTACTATAGGAGACGTTTTCACTGCTTTAATATTTTGTTATGCAACTAGTGTTTTCTTTCTTTCATAGAGATTGTTGCACTCATACCACGTCATATTTGTACAATCAACTGAACACCAGTGTGATCTTTCTGCTTTGTCCAACAGTGTAAACCCAACTTCCAGTGAGACTTCAGAGTGTGTGCATGCACAGTTCATCGTGAGTGATACTAGGGATTATTATTTATGAGCACAGGCTGGTGTCCATTGTTTCGGCGGGTAGACCAGCTGTGTGTCTGTTCCTCAGGGGGATGTGGGGCCGCCAGTCCTGCACACTGAGGACCCCCTTTTGTCTTGGCCTTGGTCATTAAAAGAGCCCAGCCTGGGGACTGGCCCCCTGCTGTTCGGAGACCCCACATCCATCACCATACACTCACACACAACACACACACAATGGGAGTGGAGCACAAGTATGATCTGCAGCGACATGTAAAGCGATTTTTGCCGTTTGCATTAAAACCAGTTAAACAAGACCTCCTTCCCTGTCCAGTTGCACCACTCTGTCTCAATAATTTGCCATCTTTCTTACACTCTCACTGAGCAGCAACAGGTATAACTGGTCCCTATAGACTTTTTTTTTTTTAAAACAAGTATCTTTATCTAAATAAATGCCTGAATTTCCCCAAGGGGATAAATAAAGTTCCATCTTATCTTATCTTAAGTAAACAACTTGAGGAGTTTCATAGTCACAGCAGCACTGTAGTCAAGCATTAAACATCAAATAAGATACAAATGTAAAATATTCACAGTAGAAAAGACATTTAACACTGGAGTATCTAAATCAAACACAATATAGAGAAAATACTGAAGAATACATTTGACCAATTGAACCATTTCAGACGCAACAGATATATAAAGACATTGGTTAATATAAACATTCATAATATAAGATAAGACAAGATAAGATTGACCTTGATCCCTACAGGAAATGCAGGTTTAATGGCAGCAACAGAAGAAAGAAACACAGATAGTACACATAAGAATATACACAGTGATAGTAAAGAATACAAATAAAATACAATAAAATAAGAATTGACATGTATCAACAGTATGAATAGAAACGACAACAATTAAATTCTGATCCGGTGAATATACTGTATATAAAGTATATACATATATAAACATACATTACAATTCGCAAACATCTATGAGTTTAATGTAGGTTTTTATTACCCTCTACACCTGTAGTTCACATAGGTGTTCAAACTCACTCAACTTCATGATGGAGGGTGTGTGTGTGTGTGTGTGTGGTGTGTGTGTGTGTGTGTGTGTGTGTGTGTGTGTGTGTGTGTGTGTGTGTGTGTGTGTGTGTGTGTGTGTGTGTGTGTGTGTGTGTGTGTGTGTGTGTGTCTCGCCCCTCCCACGCAACGTCATACTCATAACCGTTGAAACCGTTAAGCGAAGAGCACGGTTCTCTTTAAGGAGTTTCTCCAGTCGGCGGCGGAGTGAAAAACGGAGCAGCAACAAAACAATAAAACATACAAAAACACCACGACGGTTCTTTATTTCCAGCCGCAGGAAAAACATGAGACGTCGTATGGATGTATTCAACTTTTCCGCCATTGTTTGGGTGACGAAGGACGGCTGAAAGCAGCAGAGTTTCTGGCAGGACTTTTAAGGAGAAACTGGCGACCATCAAAGCAAACCGAGTGAGTAACTTTGTACATCAAAGTGTGATTTAACTAAGTACATTTACTCAAAGTACTGTGCTTGAGTACAATGTTGATACTTTAACTTGAGTATTTCCTTGTTATGCTACTACTTTGTGCTTCTACCTCACTACAATTCAGAGGTGAATCGTTTAATTTTACTCCACTACATTGTCTTAGTACCTTTAGTTACTTTACAGATGTGGATTAATGATGTGAAATATAATCAAGTGTTAAATCAGACTTTAGTTCCACCTGGAGTAAATTCACAAGCTACCCTGCAGTATACAAAGTCATTCAAACTAGCTGCACCTTTACCAGCTTTGAGAACACTTTAATGATCAATCATTATAAAACATATCATATATATTATTCTGAAATGGACCAATCTGCACAATGACTACTTTTACATTTGGTACTTTGACTATATATTGATGCTATTACTTTTTTTCAAGTAAAAGTACATATGCAGATTGGTCCATTTCAGAATAAAATATATGATATGTTTATAGTTTGATGATAAATTACTCTAGGTGTAACTAAAGTATGATATTAAGTGTTTATTTTACATTATTAATCCAAATCTGTAAAGTAACTAAAGGTATTAAATAAATGAATTGTAGTGGAGGAGAAGTACAACGTAGCAACAAATGTAAATACTTAAGTAAAGTACAATTACATTACATTATTTGTTTAAAGCCTTTCATCAAGCCAAAATACCCAATAGTTTCGGCTTCTCAAATGATCTTTTTACTACATTTTTGTGTCCTTTTAATCTGTTTTTAAAGTTAAATTGAAGTCATATTGAGTTGGTGTAAGTTGTGGTTTGCATTACTTAAAATTAGATGTTTTTGTTTTCAGACTAAACAATAGATCCATTTATGGTACCAACAAATGAATCAGCGATGAAACTAATCATTAGTTAGGTTGCCCTGGTGAGTGTAAACACACAGAGTTTACTACACAAAGTGTCAATGAAACCTTAGAAACCAACACAAACACCGGAAGATGTTAATCCAATATTTGTAGGAGATAACTGAGAGAATATCTTCTGAATGGTGTTTTAGTGTTCATGTTTACTGCCTTTTTATTTCTGATAACTCATCTAATGCAGCTCTTTCTCAGCCTGTCCTCTCTTTCTATTTCTGATGCCTAATGTGCTATCCAAGATACAAGTTTTTACTCACATGAGCAACATTTTCCAGCTGCACAGATGTGTCAGCACTGCTATATTTATAAGGAAAAAAGTCCAGACCACACTTTGGATGAGTGGCCTTTTTGATTACAGCCTAACTTTAATAAGATTTGATATGGAAAATATGGAAATGATTGGCTTGTTTTGGTAGTTTGACTCAGTTTTTCCTTCACAAACCACCTGAATCCAATAAATGATCTTGGATTAATATGTTTTTTGGCATTTATATCTTTCAGTCCAGCCTACAAGGTTGTAGTCATGATAACGACTGCGTTATTTTCCTATTGACTCACCAAGGCTGCTTATCTATGTGTTACTGGATCTAGTCCCTGCCCTGCACGGTTAGTAGCTTGTGATACTAATATCCTTATACAGAACAGTGTGTACGTACAGAGCATCTCTTCTGATTGTCTCAGATAAAGATAAGGGACGTTACAATGACTCAGTTCTCTGCATTTGATTAAAGGTAAAGCCTGTTTGATTGTAAACACATCTTATCTGTTGCATTTACAAATACGGTCCAATTTGAATACAGCAATTCAAAGTATTTATTGACAAAATTATCATCTATTCGGTCCTCTCGGAGTCATTTTGCCATTAGGACACAGACAATCATTTCTCCCAGCTTCATGCAGATTGCTTGTATTTAGACATCTCCTCCAGCTTAGTGAGTACGTTTCTGGCTCAGTTTGATGGTCACATGATGTGCACTCACCTGTTGATTAAATCAAACCTGTGAGCTTTCTGCATACAGGACGTTTTCTCCGCCCATTCTCATGTATTTATCCAACCTTATCCTCTACTGAACCCTCTAGTCAATACTGTTCCAGACAGTGGCTGACTAACTGTTTCTAGAGCACTGGAGAGGAAGAGGGATGAGTAATAACATCCATCCATACCCAGAGTGTTATCCCCATGTGATCAAGAAACAAATAGTTAAGTCAGGTTTATTTTTTTATTTGATGGATGTACACAACTGAAGTGTGTGAAGGGATACACAATTTGGAAAAAGCACCCAGTTGCAGTAATTTTGACTGATGATGCAAATAGCGATATTAAAGGGAATGATAATGTTTAAGACATCATTCACATTATCATTGGGAAATATAATAATATGACCTTGGTGTGATTTTATTGAGGGTCCTACCAAACAAGATTTTTTACTTCATTCAGATATGTTCACCTGTTTTGCCTTTACTGAATACTGCGCTTACAGTGATTTAAGATATTGCATTAGTCCATTTTCGTGATTTCGGTAACATTTCAGATTATTGTGCAACCCTACAACTATGTTTAAAAGCAGCTGCTTTAGTTGCAGAGTAGCTGAAGAAATGTGATGAATTAAGTCCTGCGTTTTGTCTTGAAGGCTGCAGGTGATTTTAAAGATCTCTCAGCCTTCCTCACATTTCAAGGTCAGTCAATTCAGTACATCCCAGATGGGAAATCTAGAGCTACAAATGGATTCTGCTAATAATGGGGGCATCTCATCAGATCTGTAATATAACCACTCTGTCGCCATTCATGTCGACACAGATATCTGTTCTGTCCTTAGAGGGACCGTCACACTATCTCTAACAGTTTCAATTTGTTTTGAAATGATTGAAAATGTCTGATACAGGATATGGATTCTCCTCACTAAATACTCAAAATACAACAAATCATACCCAAGTATACATGTTTAAAACAACAGTACAGTGAGATATATATAACATTCCCTTTATGAAAACCGTTGACTTTAATATGAATCACATTGTTAAATTGCCATCTTGATATACATGTGCCATCCCACTTCAACTAACTTTGTTTTTCTACTACCTTGACTTTATATATATACATATAAGATTAGTTGAAAATAATGAAGAATTCACTATTTAAGTCGCCATGTGCTCTACCTTTTACAATGATACCCGCCTGCCCAAAATAACACCTTCCTCAGCTTGAAGAGTGCTACTTAAGGACAGCATTACTGAGATGTAGTAACTGAATGCATCTGGTCAAAAAGTAGTGAGGTAAGCCACAATGACTCATTTTCTGTTTCCACATGTGTTAGCTACTTGCAACCAAGCATGCTTTGTGCTGAGCCAGGCTAAATACATCCTACGCAGACCTGGTAAACAGAAATGAAACTTACATTCATCTATTGTCTTCTGAAAATGTGTACGAGATAAACAAGCTAACAGTCCCAAAATATCAGCATTTCTGTGATACCGTTTTCCCTTATATGGACATCAGAGCATTTTAGAAGTTAAAACATCCACAGGAGTTGATGTTTTTTAATTAGAAAAAAGGAAAGATTATAGCTTACATCGTGAATAATACAATGCAGAAATATACCCGCAAAATACAAAGGTTTGAGGTTATATATCACATGTCCCTAATAATCACTTTTCAAGCGTCAATGCATGACGAAATTGACCTAAAATACCATTAAAAAAAACCTTTGTTTGCAGAGGTTAATACATGATACAGTATTAAGTATCCATGGCAGCAGATGTAGTTGACAAAGGCCTGTAGCAATACTTCAGAAAGCACTGTTTACCTGCTTCGTGTTCTTAAAGTCAGACCACACAAAACAAATATATTAACGGCTTGTTCAACCAGATTTCATCAAAGCCTTTGAAAGAGAGCCGAAGGGTTCAAACGGCCGGCTTTATTTCCTTTCTCTGACACCAGTTATGCCTAAGTAATGCAAAATTGGTGTTTTCCAAAGACAGATGCAGCTGCTGCCATTAAAGTGCTTTGCTGCTGCTGTTTTCCAACATCCATTAACGGCAGCTTACCCGGATATAATGCTGCATGGACACAGCTAATCCATAATGTTAGTCATTTTTCCAACAGCAGTATAGCTTCGGACTATGGCAGTGAGTTTAAACTCTTTACAGGCATTAAGGGGAAGATATAAACTGACACCAGTATTGCCTATAATGGCCAAAGCACACAGAGAGCCTTTATGTAAATGGTACCTTTCATGTACTCGACACACTGAGGCGCCGTTTACACGAGGAGAAAACTGCTTGTATCTGCATAGTTTCGCGTGTGTATAGCCCTATTATTTACACGAGGCCGATAGAAACGGACCCCACAAACGATAACGGGTCCCAAGGTGGATAGATTTGCAAACGAAACGCTCTGGGGGGTCAACCGAGTCCGTGTAATCACCTCTATACGAATATTTCCTGAAAAAATAACGATAGCCCCGCCTCTCCCCACCTCTCCCCTGCTCACTGCTGTAGCATGGCCAGTAGCCATCTGTAACGATCAACTATCAAAAATAGCTGTGTTAATTAAACGCACAAGGGGTTCTTGAATGAAATAATATTATAAAAGGCAAACCAGAATTGTTAACGCCCAATATACTCCTTAAACAAAATAAACAGTCAGATTTCATGCATTGATCCATTATATTGACAATTTTCCAGCCAAACAACACAAACAAAATTAAACAGTCCGCTCTGCGATACACCAAACTTGTCTTTACTGCCTAATCCAGGCCATTATTGTTCATTGCTCCTGCGCCCGTCGGCGGCAAAAAGATAAATGTTTGTAGGCAGAGGACCGGCGTGTCCCAGAGGAGCGATCTCACCCGGTGTTTGTAGAGAATATCTCTCTTTCTGAGCGCGTCCTCTCCACGGAGACGTGCTTCTTGGTCGGTCGATGCAATATCCACAGATTCGGTTTCTTTCAGTTAACTTCCCCGTTGCATTTATCCATATATTTACATGCTGAGGAAATTACTATATCCCGCTGAATACCAGCAATTGCCACACACACTTCCTCCTGTCAGTAGCTACTGCTAGTGCTACTG